GTGATGGTAACCTCACAGAATGAGTTTGGGAGTGTTCCTTCCTCTGCAGTTTTTAAAAGCAGTTTCAGAAGGCTAGGTGTTAACTCTTCCTTAAACCTTTGCTAGAACTCGCCCTGTGAAGTCATCTGGTTCTGGACTTTTGTTTGTTGGGAGTTTTTAAATCACAGTTTCTTAAACTTACACAATGTAATATGTCAGTGATACCAGAGTAAAACAAGTATTTTTCTGCATCTTCTCTTACTTTTCTCTCTCCATTACTGAGTGCCTACCATGTGTATTATAAATATAAATTACTACCTTAATGTCATTTTGCTCAAGATCTGGTGTGTTCAGGGTTTGTTGCTTGGGGTGGGTGCGTGGGGAGCAGGCTGTACAGAGGGTGGGATGAGGGAAGGTACGTTCAGTGTGGTTTTCTGTATGGAATGGCTGACCAGGTGTGATGACCCAAAGCTGTGAGTACTCCCAGACGTTAGCCCCAACCTCAGGTGCTCTAAAGGGTAACTGCTTCTGTATATGGAGCTGGGAGAGTGTGTGAGGTTAAGATTATGGAAAAGCACGTCTTTGTTTAAAGGAGAATGTGACTGCTCTTGTTGGAAAAATCAAACTGGAAATACATGTTGTGATCATGTGGCCCCAAGCCACACTCACAGGGCAGACTGTGTTGAACTCCCTGCTTGACGACCCTGGCTGGTCGCCCAGGGGGATGCTCTGTCCTGGATCCTTGCTGCCCCTCCTGGGGTCTCCAGGAAGGACAGGAGACCAGTTCAACCCCATTCACTTTTAAGAGCTTCCCCTAATGAAAAGAATAGAGCACACCAGCCAAATATCAGGAGCAACAGTGTGGCACATGCTTACTCTTCATAAAGTCACATTATTGTTACATAAGTCTGCCTTGAAACTCTTGTAATGTAGGAGAGGAAATGTCTTAAAAGACCAGAGAGAATCACGTATCATGATAGCTTGCCTATTTCTGTGAAAGAGTATTATTTTAACTCAAATATTATATTTGCTTTCAAATCATAAAAAGCAGTAAGTGTTTATTTAAAACATGTCCCTCTGTCCACACCCACTGACCCTCTGGCTTCTATGTGCTGGGTCACCACTGCAAATGACATATTTTGTGTCCTTCCTGACCACGTGTGTGTGTGTGTATCTGCATGAGCATGTCCATTGATGATGATGCACTGTTTATGCTTATCCAGGCTTTTGAGTCACCAGATTGAAGTCTGTCTAGCTGCAATGTGGCAATGCTTTCAAGAGATCTTGGATGCTTAGCATAGGAAGTAAAAAGAAATCTCATCCTTAAACACATAAAATTGCATTTGTATATTTCACAGGCGGCCAGCTGAATCCAGTTCTCTTAAGTGGAGGTTTGGGTCTATTTCTAGCACCAAGTTCTACTTTTACCTAAAATATTTAGACAATTGAGGCAACGGTGCTTGTTTTCCCACAGTCATGAGGCAACTGACCACTTAAAAATTTTACTTTCCTAGTGTTAGTTGCTCAGGCGTGTCTGATTCTTTTCGACCCCATGGACTATAGCCCACTGTGCTCCACTATCCATGGGATTCTCCAGGCAAGAATACTGGAGTGGGTAGTCATTCCCTTCTCCAGAGGATCTTCCTGACCCAGGGATAGAACCCAGGTCTCCCACATTTCAGGCAGATTCTTTATCGTCTAAGCCATCAAGGAACAGTAACTCTAATCCTCACCAAATAGTCCAATGGTGCAATGATTATATAGGAACTTAGTTGAATCTATTAGGTGGAGAGATATCTGAGTGCTTGAAGCAGATAATAAAGGGAGATAATATAGGACTGTATCATAGTTAGATAAACCAAAATGTCAATTAACAAAAAGAAGCACAACCATACATCACTCCCCAACTCAGTTCCTACTTGGCTCTTAGTATCCACTAATCCTTGGTCATATCACCAGGGGCTCCCTAGGGCCCCTTGGAGCTGAGCCCATCTTCCTGACTCTCCCACATGGCAGTAGACATTTCTGTGGACCTTTCTCAGTGGTTTCTTTTTGCTCATATGAGGAATGGGCAAGATATGGAGGAAAAAAGATTAGTAGTCTAGTTTACTAAACATCTGAACCATTTAAAATGGGCTGACAAAAATCAAAGACAGAATGTGGACTGTTGTGGGGGGAAGTTAATAGCTATTAACTGCAGTTGACAAAAATGAAGAATTGTTTTTCAGACAAAGGAAAGTTTAGGAAATTTAAAATCTATTGTGAATGTCCAAAATAATGAGCAAAGGCAAAATCTATGACACATCCTACTGAATACAGATGTAAATCTGACCTGTGTGCACAAGGGAAATGGTTAAAATTAGAGCAGAGCCATTTCCTGATTAACATAGATGAGTGCATGCTTTCAAAAACTAGTAGGTCCTATGAGAAGGCAGATTTTCTATGGAAGGAAACCAGTAGAAGAAAATATATTAATAATAGCACTGACATCATCATGACAGAGAAAAGGAAAACTCTGTGTTTATGTGTGTGTGTGAGACAGAGAAGAGGGGTAAGAAGGAAATACGGAAAGTATGACAGAAGTAGAATTAAGGGCATAGAATCTTATTATGTGCTAAAATGACTTTTTTTTAAAAGAACAAATCCATGATATAGATAAACTTTGAAAAGTGATATTAGAGTTCTAAAGGCTTTACTTAGAATCTATGACAACATTTAGTTCTTAAACTGTTTGCTTATTTTTCTATGACTGTAAGGACAATATATCATAATGTTGACTTGGATGATGAAGGGTGACATCACCAGCTGTCCTGTACACAAATCTGGTATTTTATGCTTTTCACCATTCCCCATGACAAGTTCCATCTTCCTGCCCCTAACCCCCTGCAGCTGCAGCCAAGCCTGGAGCCTTACCACCCAGACAGGGCTCAGGACTTAGGACAAGGCTCCTAGAGCCCAAGGTGGAGCAGATGATGTCAGCTCTGTGGGGTTTTCATTGGCTGCTTCCTGTTTTTGGCTGTTCTCCCACACAGGGCCTCTGGCTAAAGCCTCTCCAATTCTAAATGGAACAACACAAGACCCCCCCACCCCAGGCCCCCTTCACTTCCTTCTCTGATAGGATAGTCAGATTTGGCAAACACTACAGATGTCACAGATAATTCTGTAGTGTAAGTAGATCCCATGAAAGATTTGGGATATACTGACACTACAAAATGATTCACTATTGATTTGAAATTCACATGTAACTGGCAACTTGGATTTTACCTGGTGACCTTATTATCTGAACTCTGGGAACCCCTAGCGTACCTGGGAAGGGTCTTAGGAAGGTCAGGATAAGGTATTTGGGGTGAGACGCACGGCACAAAGAGTAAATACATTGTCTATTAAAGGACAAAACACAAAATCCTCTTAGTTCATCTGAAAACAGTCATTCCTGGAGTCCTTGTCACGTTACCCACAACACTGCTCCTGGGTGGGGGGGTGGGGGCGGGTGTTCCCTTTTCCTTCCCTCCACCCTTCTGGGCAAGGATCTGAATTTTGAGTATTTAAGGAGCAAATGCAGCACAGAAGAGTAGCTGGCAAGTGATGAATCTACTGTACAGAGAACAGATCAGACAGGTCTCAGGGAAGATGGTTGGGGAGGGGGCAGGGAAACAGGGAAACACCAAAGACGAAGCTAGAGACGCAGTCACACCTTCAAGCTACACTTATTGCACAGATGTAAACGTGCACAAATATGCCTGTGAATGAATTTAAAAATGTGTTCATTTTCTGAACCAACTTTATTTAACTTATTAACCTTGTCTGTGGCTGTTTGTGCAGAATCTCCTAGTGAGCAAGAACGCACACGTGCTGTCTCTGGTGGGAATCAGCCACCCAGGGCCAGAGGTGCTGGGATACAGTGGGTCAGCTGAGCCACGGTGCTGTCTAGAAGCATTTCTTCCCTAATACTGAGATCCTAATTTGCCTTGGTCCAGAAGGAACACCTGTTGTTTAACCTCTAATGGCTTTCTTGCAAGTAAGATGAGAACCTATTAGTTCTCAAGCCAGCAAAAGTTCTAAGCTGAATGATAATTGCTGACATTTGAGGCACCTAGAATGAAAACTGAATAGTTTAGCATAGATTTTTCCTTCTGGTTAATTCATCATTTATCTTGACTCAATGTGATGATCTTTTTTATCAAACTAGTCTTTATTGGAATAATGCTGAATTCTACCAAAGTTAAGACTAGTTATAATGGAGAGGATTTTCTTCTTGGACCCAAATGTTATTTAAAAAAAAGCACCCTGAAACCCTCCAAAACAATACATACACTGTCACACACAATCCATGGCTATATTCCTACATAGGTCTAGTGTCATGGAAACCAGCTAAGCTCTTCTGTGCCTCTCTGACGAAAATCTGATCAAAAGACAGTGTAGTGGCATAAATCTAAACTCAGTTTAGAGTGAAAAGGAGGTGCAGGGTGCATATAGTCAGGAGGTGTAAAATAAAATGAAATAAATCTGCCTTTGGTTATAATGAAAGAAAACATAAGTTGTGCAGTCAGTGTCACTGCAACATCCATTCCTTATTTTCTCACAGTGATAGTTCAGGTCTTTTGGGAGAGTCATTTTGTGTGTATCTTGGGATTTTAAAAGCTTTCCAGCTCTGCGATGCTCAGCAATCAGGGTGTCTGATTCGTGGAGAGGGTCATAGCCCTGAACGGGAAGGTTTGCTGATGGAGAGCAGGAGTTGGGTGGGATGAGAGTGCTGGTCCTAGGATGCTGTTTGGGCATCTTGGGAACATCTCCCCCCTGTGCTGTCCCGAGGAGCAGTTTCCTCTGGTGATACCAGAGACGCAGATGGAGGAAGAAGGGGGTGCCTGACTGTGGCGGAGGCTGGGATGCCTCGCGGGAAGTGGGTGGGGTTTGGCGACCGGAGACCGAGTGACCCCCGCGAGAGGACCACGGGCAGCGTCTGGGGACAGGGGAGGCGCCGGCGCGGGGAGGGGTGCGCGGGGCCGGCTCTGCACACTCACCCGTGCTGCTCTGGATGGTCCTCACGGTGGTGGTGGTGCGCGGTGGGGAGGAGGACCGCAGCGACGCGCACTCGTCGTCCTGGGAACAGCCCTTCTCGATGGCTCTCACGTAGCTGTGGCTCCGCATGCGGAAGCAGCCCGGCATCGGCAGGTCCAGGGCCTCCACCGCCTGCGACTCCAGCTCGCTGAACACCGACTCGCACACCGACTCGAACTGCCCGTTCACCTCCATCTCGCTTACCTGCGGGGCCAGATGGGACGTCAGCCACCGCTCTTCCTGGGGAGAAGCCAGCTCGCCCTCCGAGCATCTCCAAACCGCATCCCCCAGAGGAACGCCCCATCAGATAGCCTTGAATTCGAACGCATTTTAGCTCCTCAGCAAAAAAATCAGACCAGTCAACCCTAAAGGAAATTAACCCTGACTGTGACGAAGTTCCCATACTTGGCCACCTGATGCGAAGAGCTGACTCACTGGAAAAGACTGATGCTGGGAAAGACTGTGGGCAGGAGGTGAAGGGGACGACAGAGGATGAAATGGTTGGATGGCATCACTGACTCCATGGACTTGAGTTTGACTAAGCTCCGGGAGTTGGTGATGGACAGGGAAGCCTGACGTGCTGCAGTCCATGGGGTCACAAAGAGACACACCTGAGCCACTGAACAGCAGTCTCCTTACAGACTAATGGGGTTGTATCTGGCTTATAGTCAATTAAACTCTAAAGAAAGAGAACTTTTGTTTTTAGAATGCAAGGAAGTGTGGTGTTCCGAAATCATTCCTCCAGCTCACGCTGAGATGCTAATTTTCCTTTATCCCTTCTCCAGCTGATATAAATGCAAACCTAGGGGCCAATGTTACTGCCCATGGTCAGAGTTCAATGGGGCAGTTTTTGGCACAAATGTTTTAGAAGCTAGTATTTTTATTGTGCCTTGGAAGTGACTAGTTTGTCAAATAATTTGTGTCAATTGGAGTGTAATTTAGTGCAAAGTCTAGAAACAGGCCCTATATTTTCTGGCAAGATATATACATTCTGCACAAAAATAGGTCAACCCAGATATGTCAGTCTTGAAAGACACTATTATTGAGATTTTCAAACTATATACATACTATCTAAAAAAAGGTTCATTCTTCTCTATAAAAAGCTGATATGGTCCACAAATTGTTTTTAAAATCTTCCAAATAAGTTCTTCTCCTTTTTGAGGAATCAGTGTTTATTTACTTATATTCCTCTGTATATAACTTACACTGGATTTGAACACCACATTAAAAAAAAAAAGCCAGACCAGGTTGTTTAATCGCTCAGTTGTGTCCAACTTTCTTGCCACCCCACAGACTGCAGGCCTCCAGGCTTCTCTGTCCATTGGATTTCCCAGGCAAGAACACTGGAGTGGGCTGTCATTGTCTCCAGTGGATCAAACTGTGTCTCTTACATCTCCTGCTTTGGCAGTTGGATTCTTTACCACTAGCACCACCTGAGAAGCCCCATATTATATTTATTTGTATATCTTTATTCCATACTAAATATCTTGGTTTTCAAGGACACAGAAGATGATAGAATTGGGATATTCAACAATGATTCATTTGGTTTCTTCCACAGTATATACACAACAGCCTCTGAATAGCAAACTAATACCACTTCTGCACATACCACTATTAAAAACAGTTCACAGTTCCTTCCTTTTGCATGTGCTCTCTCTGTTCGTTCCTCATTTAAAAATAGTTGTGCTATAGAATGAGGCCAGGCTCCACCTTTGCAGTACCAGGTGCTACTGCCAGTTCTGACAACCTTAAAAACTTGAACTTCACTTCTGGGGGAGTAATCTGAAATGTAGATTTGAGAATTATTGCTTGGGGGGAAATAGCATTTAAAGTTGGAAGTTGTGTGTGCAAGATTGTGTATGAGTATTTTTGTATTAAAAAAATTTAAAGGCAAAAGAAAAAATTGTTGTGCTATTTTGATATTATCAGAGCACATCACGTACATGTTCTTTCCCACTGTAGCTCTCATTAGTCCTAGTTTTACAAATGACTATATAGTTAATGTTTCTCACTACTTTTTTCATACAAAAAGGTGATTCTTTATCCAGCCTAGACACACATATAGGTCAAGTAGCTCTAGATGGCTTATAAAGACAAAGAGCGAGCCCCCAACCCTCCCCCAATTCTTCCTCCCCAGAAGAACCATTTTCAATTCTTCCAGGTGAATCTTACGGTATTTGCATCCATATTGCCAGACACATGCTTATGTGAGTCTCCTGATATGTTCAGAGACCTCTGATAACCTCTTGGTTTCCTTCCTGCCCTTGAAACGTCTGTCTGGGTGCCTCCTACCACAATCTATGGCTGCTAAGTCCACTGTTGTGCTGGGCTCTCCCTTCCCCATCATTCTGGGGGTGCCTTTCATCATCTAACTGGTGGTGGTGCCCCAGTTCCCCTTCCCCTGTTTTATTCCCTCTTTTCAGTGGAGCACAGTGCTTTCTTGGGAAGGCGGCCCCCTTCACATCGTGGAAATGTCTGTACCACCTCCACCGTTAAGGGAGAGCATGCTTGCATTTAGAGTTTTATCTGCATCCCTCCTTCTTTCAAGTATTTCTGGGCTTCTCTCCTTGTCTCTTAGCCTCCGTATGTGCTAGAGACTGAGAAAAGGGATGTTTTTCTCATCTCTGAGCATTTCTGTGTGCGCTGGTTTGCCCCATCCCTGCTGGAAGCTTTTTAGGGTTTTTTTTTTTTTTTTTTTTTTTGGTCCTGAGTGATCTAATGTTTCACCATGGCATTCCCTGTAGGGATCTTTCTCCATTCATTATACTAGGTACTGGGTGGGCCCTCTCAACCTGCAAATTCATATCTTTCAGTTCTGGGACCATTTCTGGGACCATCATTTCATTAGTAATTGCCTTCCTTCTGTTTCACTGGTCAGATTTTAAATTCATTTGGATTTATTTTTTTATCTGGTTTAATGCCATGAGTGGGACTATAGAGAAGGCTGAGCGCTGAAGAATTGATGCTTTCAAACTGTGATGTTTGATAAGACTCTTGAGAGTCCCTTGGACAGTGAGGAGATCAAACCAGTCAATCCCAAAGGAAATCAACCCTGAATATTCATTGGAAGGACTGGTGCTGAAGCTGAAGCTCCAATCCTTTGGCGACCTGATGCAAAGAGCTGACTCACTGGAAAAGAACCTGATGCTGGGAATGATTGAAGGCAGGAGGAGAAGGGAACGATGGAGGATGAGGTGGTTGGATGGCATTACTGACTCAATGGACACGAGTCTGAGCGAACTCCAGGAGATAGTGAAGGACAGGGAAGCTTGGCGTGCTGCAGTTCATGGGGTTGCAAAGAATTGGACATGACTTAGCAATTGAACAACAACAATGCTGTTTCTACTATATCATGGGCAATTCACTTGAATTCTCTGAGCCTCACTTTTCTCATCTGTAAAATGGGTACAGTAATACCTACCTCACAGGGATGCTTTTAAGGAGAAAAATAAAATAAACAAGTGAACCTTACTAGGCACATAGTAGGCATTCCACAAGTACTAGATATTATTTTATGAGAGTGTGGTGGGAAGAATGAGAAAAATTACTCTAATTCTCTGAAGTTCATAAATTAAAAAATGATCTTTCTTATGCGCGTGTACATGTCCGTAGTCTGCCAGGCTCCTCTGTCATGGGATTTTCCAGGCAAGAATATTGGAGTGGGTTGCCATTTCCTTCTCCAGGGGATCTTCCAGACCTATGGATCGAACCCACATCTTCTGCATTGGCAGGCACATTCTTTATGACTGAGCTACCTAGGAAGCCAATCTTTCTTACAGTTGATATGAAATTAATGAGATAATATGCAAAGCTTATAGCATATGTCAGGTAAGTGATATATAGTAACTATTTCACATTTCCATTATCACTACTGCTATTATTGGCAATATTATTCCCACTAATAACTCAATTCCAGCAGATAATGAAGAAACTTATGAGTTAGGAGTCAGGACACCTAGGTGTTCTAGGTTCTGTCACTGACTAGCTGTGTGCTCATAGATGCTTAATTCATCTCAGTTTACATTTCTGGTACATATACAAGGAGGGGATGGTTTAGGTCAAAAGTCACCACTAACCTGCTAGTATTACCATCGAGTACAATAACTGCCCTATTACATTTACATTTTTAAAATGGTATACAAACCCAAACATCACTGGACAAAATATATCTGTGGGCTTCTAGTTTATCATTCTAGGTGAAGATGTTTGATTTGGACTTGAAATAAATTGAGAAGTAAATTAAACTAATTTGGAAATGAGAGTTATTATGCCAAATATTTTTAAAAATGTGACCTCAAATTCTTCTCAAGTCTTCCTTTAAAAGCCCCCATTTTTTAGATGTGTATATAGGGAAAAAAAATAGAAAGGGAATAAACATATAAAAAGATGTTTGGTTTTCCTTATAATCCAAGCACAATCTGTTTTTATGGATATTTTATTTCTATAAGGTATGAACGGTGGAAACAATTTAGTTATTCTATATCAACTTCTTAACTTACAGCATTTTACTTTGATCTTTATAGGAGCCTTTGATGAATAATATATCAGGTTTTAAGAAGGAATAGGATATAATGCACTTAAATTCTATACTAGTAGAGCTGCTACTGAAGATCTGTAAGAGATATCTCCAACATCACAACAACCAACTACTTTTTGAAAAGCCTAGAATATATATAGTAGGATTACTTAGAAGAAGAAATCAATTCTCTTTGAATAATGACAATTCTGGGACAGTGACAGAAAATTTGAAATCATCCTTCCTGATATTCTGTTCCTTGAAAAATGAATATGATACTAGAAAAATGGTGTGTCATTAGGAATCCATTTAGGATGGCTCTGCTTCCTGTGTTTTACTTAAGGTGAAATGATCACACCACTGAATCGCAGGCTTGACCCCCCCAGATCAGGGCCCACATGTGCCTCTTTAGTGATTTGTCGACACTGTACTAAATTGTCACCAGAAAGTGACACTGTCTCAAGGAAAGTGAGATCTGTGGCGCAGAGACTAAAAGCAGGCAGCTGCATAAGCGTGGGTCCTGATAGAGAAGCTCTCCTGTTTTAACTATGTGAAATTATGAAAGCAGTGGGTGTGTATAAACATTTTCAGCAAAATATTCTAAACCCGTGGATGTATTCTTCAGGTGTGACACCTGAGATTTATAGACTATTTTACAATTCTGGAAGGCTATGTGACCACGAGCCTGTCCAGAATAAAGATAAGTTTGAAGAAGTTTTAAAAATTATATTGTTTATATTGAAAAAAGTAAGAACAAAGCAAAGTTCAAATTTCACCAAATGAGACACCAGATATTTACCTAAGAGTTGGGATAGTGAGCCTCTCTGGACAGCAGTAGCTGGCACAAATAGATATGTGTACTCTTGGAGATTTCTTTAAGGAAATGTACAGTGGGCAAACATTGGAATCCAATACGCCAACTTTTCCTGACTTCCACCCTACCCTGATATTGGAGCCTTGCTCTGGTCGGGACAAAATGGGAGGAGTGGTCCTATTTCAGGGTCTTACTCTGATAGATCAGATATGCTTCAGGGCTTAGCCTACTATTCAACACCACCACCTTTACCATCTTCACCACTACCAGCATCATTAGCATCATCTTTACCACCACCATCATGACCACCACCCTGATCACACTCCTCACCACCATTACCAGCACCATCTCCATCAACACTATCCCCACTATCAACAGCAGCAGCAGCACGAGCACCACCACCAGTAATATTAATTCTCACCTTGAGGATCACAAAGTCTTTCAAACTAGCCTCTCTGCCTCTTCAGGCTCTTTCTCATTCTCTCCAATTTTCCTACAATTAATTTTTTTTGGGGAGGCTGGATTAACTATCCTTCATCAAAGTTCTGATCATCTGTTTTGCCGGCATAAAAGCTGAAGTTTTAATTAATCTTCAATCAGTCCCCCTCCTAATGAATAAGATCCAGTCCCCTGGGCCCTGCATGGAAAGCGGTGCATGAAAGATGCCTCCAAGATAAAATTCAGAACAGACTGCCCATTGCTGCGGCTACAAGTATTCTGAATTCCAACCACATGCTATTGCTTGCATGTGCTTTGGGGCTTCCAGTGTGGTGCTAGCGGTAACTGCTTTAGGCCAGCATTTTTCAAAGTTCAGATATATACTACTTTAATAAATACTTCTTTATTAATACATTACTTATTAGAATCACCTGGAATATCTGTTAAAATGTACATTCCTAGACCCCTATGCCTAGAAGCTCTCTCTTTAGAATCCTGGGTACTGAGCACTTTTTATTTTTTTATTCTCTTGGGGATCTCATTGACAGTTTCATGTCCACAAAGTCCCATTTAACTTTTGGTTACTTACATATCTTACAGAGTGTTTATAAGGATTAATATTATGAACAGGTAAAGCAGTTGGCACGGTGCCTGACCCAGTAAAGTTGGCTCTTATGGCTAATTCTTGTCCTACCTACCTCAGTGTTTTTCTGGTATTCAAGTGAATAACGTTTGTTATTTACTTTATTTTTTGGTATGACCTCCATTAAACTGTAAATTTTGGGGCAGCAGGAATGAGGCATTATTCACCACTGAATAACTTGCAAAATCTAGCCCAGTGTTTTGCTCAATAATATTAGCTGAGTTAACAGTATAGTGCTTTTTAAAATAATTAATTAGTTTTTGTCTGCTCTGGGTCTTCTTTGCTATGCATGGGTTTTCTCTAGTTTTGGCAAGTGGGGGCTACTCTCTAGTTGCAGTGCTTGGGCTTCTCATTGTGGTGGCTTCTCTTGCTGTGGAGCACAGACTCTAGGGGCTTGAGTTTCCGCAGTTGTGGCTCTCAGGCTCAGCAGTCTGGGCGCATGGGCTTAGCTGCCCTTCAACCAGGGATCAAACCCGTGTCCCCTGCATTGGCAGGTGGATTCTTAACCCTGGACCACCAAGGAAGTCCCAAGTATGGTGCTTATTTTTAAATACTGATAAAAATTAAAATTCAGAACTCCTAAACATTATTTCAGAAAAAAATACCCTTTTTTTGTCCTTCCAGAAGAAGCGCCTCTTGCTCCTCTGGTGGCCCCTGAAAGCTGCAGTGTCCGCCCTTTAGGAGTCCTAGGTTTGACCCTCCCTTGGGTTGAGGCAGCCTAACCCCCTCTCATATTCTCTGAGACCATCATTGGAAGGCACTGAGAAGCTTTAGCTGAGTATTTCAGATGCAGTATTATATCAACTTTACTGAGTCTCTATCCCTAATTCTGGGTACCAGTTCTTAGAAGTAGACTTGTGTCTTAACAACCAAGACACAATATTCATCTAGGACCCAGCTGGAATAAACAGATCTCATTTCCCAGCCTTTGTCCCTGTTTTGATGACTTGCTTAATACTTTTAGGATTAGACACTGCCTAGGTTTTGCCAATGATGTCCACCCTGTCCTTCTATCCTTCAGATGTCTTTGCAAGTGAAGCCTCATCCATCAACTTCTTAATGACAAATGTGCTGGTGCAGGCTGACTGCTGAAGATTTTCCTCAAGGACTCCCCCCACGTGCTTTACCCCATCTGCCCAAGGACCCCTGCTGCTGGCAGGGCTGTTGGTCCCCAGAGCCGGCTGTGGCCAATCACAGGCAGCATTTAGCCTAAGGCCTCTGCCCGACCCACCAGCATCACTCTTGGGTGATGTCAACCTCCTCGCGTCACACCCCCTGGGTTTCCCCAACCCCCCGTGCAGTTCACTGCGCGTGGCCGCGGGGCTCACCTGGCTGATGGTGCTCATCGCGCGCATGTAGCTCTCGTTCCTGGAGCGGAACTTCGGAGACGTGAGCAGCCCCGCAGGGTCAAGGCTGTCGAGGCTTCGGTTGATGGAGACCTCACTGACCGCCCTCAGGTAACTGTGACTCCGGATCTGGAGTTTGGGGGAGTGCTCATTGGAAATCCTGGAGGAGAACAACGGAGAGTGCGCGTCGAGTCCTGTTCCACCGAGGAGGCGGGAATAAGACAGGGCAAGTTCCGACTGCCATGGCCACCCTACATACTAGCACGAGTAGCGAGTAACACAGATGCCCTCCCGTGGTCGTTACATTCCCCCGTGGGGTCTGGAAAGAAAGCTTTGGATGGGAAATCATTGAGAGCAATTATAATTCCTTCAGCCCATGAAATAATGTCCTCAGTCACATTTTCCTAGATAGCCTAGAGGGCATCGTGTAGCTGCCATGCCTGCCCTAGAATTCTTCCCGGTTGTAATTTGTGAGCTTTCCCTTTGTACTCATTTCTTTTCTATGCCATCTTCTATTTTATTTTTTTATTGTGCTAAAAGTCACATAATATATAAAATGCACTCTTCAACTGTATTTAACTGTTGAGTTCCCTGGCACTAAGTATATTCACATTGTTGTGCAACTCTCACCATCATCCATCTCCCGAATGTTTCACCTTCCTAAACTGAAACTCTGTCCCCAGTAAACACTAACTCCCCATCCCCTGACCCCCGCCTCCCCTCTACACCCGAAGCCCCTGGCATCTACCAATCTACTTTCTGACTCTATGAATTTGACTATTCTAGGTATCTCACATAGGTGGAATCAAACAGTATTTGCACCTACTGTATATTGGAATGCACTTTTAAGGTTAGCTTAATATATGTCCTACAAACAAGACTGTCTTTTTGGATTTTCTATTAATGGCAGATGGGTGTCTGTCTGTAACTCTATCACTATCTCTCTCTCGATCCATCTTTCTACCATCCATTTAATCTTTTCTCATTTAGTTGAGACTTAACAGTGAACAAAACTTAAATTTTAGACGTTAACATGTGCACATCTCTAAATCTTGATATCCAAAGACAAATCTTACATACGTTATACTCGTAAGACTATTTCCCAAGATGCATTTTAAAATTATAAAAGCAGAAACTGCACTTTGCAAAAAGCCAACCTATCCAGAAGTGCACAGAGCAGAAAGTGGGTCTCCCCGTCCCCTTGTTCCTGCTCCAGAATTCCACTCCCCTGAAAGAGCTACCCATAGCAACTTGCTGTATAGCCTTCCTTGCCCTTTCTGTACACATAAAAACAATTGTTTTAGTTATTAAAAAATTTTTATTGAAATATAGCTGATTTATAATGTTGTGTTAGTTTCTGGTGTATAGCAAAGTGGTTTAGTTATATATTCTTTTTCTTTAGACACTATTATAAGATATTGAATATAGTTCCATATGCTATACAGTAGGACCTTGGTTTGTTTTATTTAATCTATTTTATATACAGCAGTTTGTATATTTTAATCCTAAACTCCTAATTTATCCCTCCTCCCCCCTTTCCCCCATGGTAACCATAAGTTTGTTTTCTGTGTCTGTGTTTTATAAGTAATTTTTGAAGTTTGTTTTTGTGTGGGATTCAGGGTGATTTTGTTTCTTTCATTATTAAAAAAAACTTGCTATAATATTGTTTGCAATTTAAAAAGTTGATAAGGAAAAAGATGTAGGCCCAATAAGCTTCTATTATTTATAATTTTTCTGGAGATTGTAGCCAATGAAATTAGAAACAAAAAAAGAAGTAGAGAATATAAATATTATGAAGAAAGAGAGAAACTTTGAGTATTTACAGATTATACAATTAATTAGCTAAAAGATAAAATCAACTGAAAACTTTTAGAACTAATAAGAGTGATTCCCCAAATAGTTACATACAGAGTAAAAATAGAGAAATCAATAGTTTTTCTATATACTGCCACAACCAAATAGGAATTTAATTAATTAATTAATTAATTTTTTTGTGTGAAGACTGTCAGTTTAACTAGCCTACATAATGCCACTTTCATGGAAGATATGTTTTCAAATATCTGGCTTACACACAAGCTTTTAAAACACAACACATTCTTAAGCTGAGAACGTCCTATAAATTGTTTCTCAGTCTAGTAAAGCAATATTGATTTTTCTGTATTTTTTTGTAGATATTCATGTCATTAAAAAAAATCCTGCTGAATAGTATAATAGAGTTTCTAGATCTTTCTCTAGTGTTGTATAGAGGTAATAAATTGTGCAGCTGGACTGTGGTAACACTGTCAGAAGAGAGTGCTTTGCTGGTACCATTTTCATTATTTGCCTTTTGAATTTAGATTCTCTTTTTTGGATGTGCTGTGCTCAGTCACTTCAGTCATGTCTGACTCTTTGCAACCCAATGGACTGTAGCCTGCCAGGCTCCTCTGTCTATGGGATTCTCCAGGCAAGTATACTGGAGTGGGTTACCATGACCTTCTCCAAAATAGAAATTTTAATTTAAAAATCCATTCAAAATGATAAACATAGTAAGTAGAAGCTATGAAAAAGAGGTGCACCAGAAGTTTTTGAAAAAGTAATAAAATTTTATGTAAGGTAATAAGTCGTAAATAAAAACAATTTTCCTGAATGTGAAACTCAATATTGTAAAACATTTTAAACTTCCTAAATTAATCTATAAATTTAATACTTGTTCAGTCGCTAAGTGGTGTCCAACTCTTTGTGACCCCATGAACTGCAGCACGCCAGGCTCCTCTGTTCTCACTGTCTTGAGGAGTTTGCTCAGACTCATGTCCATTCCTGACCCAGGGATCCAACCAAGATCTCCTCCATTGCAGGCAGATTCTTGACCATCTGAGCACCAGGGAAGCCCCTGGTACATTTAATACTAAAAGCTGAGGATTTGATTAATGGCCACTTTTTGCAACTACAATGAAGTGAAGTGAAGTTGCTCAGTCATGTCCGACTCTTTGCAACCCCATGGACTGAAGCCTACCGGGCTCTTCTGTCCATGAGATTTTCCAGGCAAGAATACTGGAGTGGGTTGCCATTTCCTTTTCCAGGAGATCTTCCCGACCCAGGGATCGGACCCAGGTTTCCTGCATTGCAGGCAGACGCTTTACCCTCTGAGTCACCAGGGAAAACTACACTGAAGGAGGGGCCAAATTAGAATAGATCTGGAATTTAGCATCAAAAGGAAACCTCTTGTGTATTTTACTAATACAAAAGAGAAACTGTTCTAGCAATGTTCCCTATGGATCCTAAAAGTAGCTGCCAAACATAAAAATACCTCTGCCAGATCAGGCAAGTGTTTTGCATGCATTATGTGCCATTATGGAGAGTCACCATGGACCACTTTATAAATGCTTGTGCCAAAAATCCCTGTCAGAAAACAAATACACTGAAGAGTAAATTTTCCCATTGAGATCTCTTCTAGGGAAAGAGAGCCTTCGCTAGAAGCATTTACAGCCTAAAGTTCACTTCCACTAGAACTTGAGAGAAGACAAATGTGTTTCTTTGTCTATTTTGTAGCATGACCCAGAGCAATGGTATTGCCAATATAAATGATGCTGCGTTTCCAAACAGTTATCAGGGCAGCAATGGGGGCAGCTGTTTCATAAATGGTCTACATTCAAATTAAAAAGTGAAAAGCTCAGTGTTTTGAAAAATGAGTGTGTGTCTGTTGGCTGAGATGGAGAAACTCCGGCCACTCGTTATGAAATAAGCATAATTCCAAAGTGGAAAATCATTCAGAAGAGATCAAATAGTTCTACTTTGGTGAGGCATTCCTCACCACACATTCCTCACCACCTCACATGTTGTTTCATCTGATGAAACAACACATACTTTAATGATACACGAAATATAAGGAAATGAGCTTTTTGACCTTGTCCACTTAGAGAGCAGAGCCCACAGCTCTCATTATAAAGGGTACAGTATGTATGTGTGCTCCTGATGATGAAACACTCATGAAAGAAACACCAAAAGAGAATGAGTTGATTATCAACTCTAGAGGAAGTTGCTAAGAAGAAAAGGAATGTGCACATTCAGAAACATTAGCTCTTATATTAATGATCGATGTTAACCTATTCAAATGACAGCCATCATATTTCACTTTCTCCCTAAATTGCTTATGCTAAGTTAACCTTTCATGGCTTATCCCAATGGAATTGAGATTTTGGCCTGGTTGAGCCCCATTCGTTATCATGTCCTTTAACTGCACCCAAAGATGGGATGCCCTTAGATGGCAGTGAGACAGCTAGACAAACAAGTTTGGCCAGTGAATCAGTAAGGTTTCCAATGCAAAGAGGAAAAAAGCAATAATACTTGGAAAGCAACATTTAATACATTTTATTTTTTGAATATAGTTTTATTAATTTTAATTGTGTTTATTTTAAAAGATATTTTAATTTTATTGGAGTATAGTTAATTTACCATAATGGGAAAGAATATGAAAAAGAATGCATGTGTGTATGTGTATATATATATATATATATACACACATATATATATGAATCACTTTACTGCACAACAGAAATTAACACAATATTGTAAATCAACTACACTGCATATTCTGTGATAACCTATATGAAGTAAGTTGATTTACAATGTTGTGTTAATTTCTGCTGTACAGTAAAATGATTCATACACACACACACATGCACACACATATATATAATCCATTTTTTTCATATTCTTTTCCATTATGGTTTATCACAGGATATTGAATATAGTTCCCTGTACTATACAGTAGGACCTTGTTATTTATGCATTCTCTATATAATAGTTTACCTCTGTTAATTTCAAACTTCCAATCCATCCCTCCCCCTGCCCCCCTTTAACTTTGGCAACCACAAGTCTGTTCTCTCTGTCTGAGAACACAAATTTTAAATCAGGGTTCCCAAAGAGAAAATGATTAATCCTGTAATATATCACTAAAATTGTAACGCCACAAGATGAATAAGCTCCAGGGATCTAATGTACAGCACAGTGCATGTGTCCTATCACTCAGTCGTGTCTGACTCTTTGCGACCCCGTGGACTGTAGCCCGCCAGGCTCCTCTGTCCCTGGGATTCTCCAGGCAAGAATACTGGAGTGAGTTGCCATACTCTGCTCCAGGGGCTCTTCCCAACCCAGGGATCGAACCCAGGTCTCCTGCATTGC